CGGTAGTGTTCAGGAAGCTCTGGGTTGCCTTTTTCTTATAATTAATAGAAACAACTTCTGCGTAGGCAATTCATCAGGATACGACTCTTCAGTCCACATTTGGTTCAAGATTCTCGCCAGCAACCTCATGTCTTCGTCTAGATATTTGTACAATTCGAATGTGAGGCCGTCTGGGCCTGGGGCTTTGTTTGTTTTTGATCAGCGTAAAGCTTCATGTATTTATCTCCTCGATCGTGATGGACCCTATATTGATAGGTGGTTGCGTGTCCACTACTTCTCTCTTGTCTACCTTGTCTGGCGGTAGGTGCTGGATACACGCCCAATGTCTTTTTTCTAAATATTCCGCTAGCGCGTCGGCTTTTTTGTCTAGCGGAAATGATTGGCCATGAATATCTTTTAACTTATAAAAAGAAGGTTTAAATGTAGACTTTTCAAGCTTAACGCCTTTCCATTTTGCCCTGGCGGATGAAAATCTTCGAGCATCCTCAGTTTCCACTTTTTCTTGTCGCATCTTGCTGATCTCTTCATGGCTGCATTGAGTTGCTGTTTAAGGTCTGAGTTGCTCTGTGCCCGAGCCGCTTGTCTATTTTCAATCAAGTTCCAAGTTGCTTCAGATAAGTACGCTTGCTTTTGTTCGGTAGGTATTTTGGTTAGAAGCTTTTCTGCGGCCTGATTGATTGCTTGTGAGAAATTCTTGTTGTTCATTTGCACGCTGTCCCGGGATGAACAAAAGTCGAAATTTGCTCGGATGTCATCGTTGAATCACATCTTTGCCTGCTCGCTTGGGTTTTTGAATCTGGCAGTCTTTCGTCGTTTCGAACCGTCTTTCTTTCCAAGTTTGATTCGAATGTTTGTGGTTAAAACTGCATGGCCTGTATCAAAAGCAATATCAGGTCTACTTTCAATATCAACTATTGCATTTTTCCAGCGTTTTGGACACAAAATGTGGTCAAGTTGGGCAAATCTATCAGGTGTCCATGGCGCCGCAAAACCCTCAGTCTCAGAAAACTTGAACGTGCACTGCTTCTGTGGCGGTTTTGAGAAATACGTACTTGTGATATCTTGTAATGATGTAATTGTTATCTACAAAAATCAATAAGATACTGTCTGTTCTCTAGTTGGTCTCCTGGCATCTCTTGTACATATCCGGCGTCGCGCCCAAAAGTGTGGTGCCCCATGATGTCAAATTCAGAAACTTGTCTGCCATGAATTCTTGCATTCATATCCCCAACGATGAAGCATGGGGCGCTCCCAGCATGCGCTTCACATTGGTGGTTCAGTATATCCAAAAAGTTTTGTTTTTCATCATTCGGTCTGCCACGGTGCGGAGCATGTAAATTCATAATGTAGTACTTACGTCCTTTTGCTGAAATTTTCAATTTCATCATGCGGTCGTTCACGGGTACGCAATCTAAAATGCGATGTTTGATTTGGGGCGAGATGACAAACCCTACTCCATAGTGTGCTGGACCTCTGTTACCCTGCTTTCCTGAAAAAAGAAAGTGTAACCGTCGTGTGATTCAGTTGAGCTGAATGCTTGTTTGGTTTCTTGTATTGCCATTATGTCGATATTGTGCTGCTGCATTATGTACGTTAATTGCTGTCTCTTGGATAGGGCTGCTAGTTCTCTACAATTCAACGTAGCGATCTTGAGTTTCTGGCCATATTTCAGCGAGCTGGCGGCTTTAGTGTCATGATGCTTTGCCGCATATTTTTGCTGTTTTGGGTATTGGCTGCCTGTCTTGATCAATGTTTGGCAGAATCGGGTGGACCTGTTGCGTAAGTAGCGCTTTCTGTGGGTCATGTATTGCTTCGCCAATTTTGTGTTGTTGGCAAGCTTTTGTTTTGAAAAGGTCTTGAGAAGGGCCTTCCCGGAGGTTTGGTTTGGGAAACTGTGGTTTTGTGCATTCTTGGCTGGTTTCCTGGGTGGCTGTTGGAACAAGCGCGCTCGCAACCAGATTGCGCACTAGAGTTACATCTGCGTGTTTTATCAGTCTCCATGTTTTACGGTGCTGTTTTCTATGTATTTTTTTCTCTGCAAGTCTTTCCTGTGCGTGTTTCTTATTTCTCTTTCCGCGTCTTGTTTTTTGGTTGTGCTGTTTCTTAGGTTTCCCTTGGATCTGTGCAGATGTGCGGGTATAGGGTTTGTGGACGCTGCTAGCACGGGTGCGCTGCGCGATCCTCCCGGCTCTCCTTGTGAGGGTACCCTTTGGATAACTTTCATGCAACGCGCGAAAGCTTTTTTCCGCCGAAGAGTTCTCATATTTGCTGTTGATGTGGAAACCTGCCATTTGTAGATCATTTTCCTGGGGAAATAATGGGTTTTCCGCATCTAACTTAGTTTTCCCCAGGCTAATTTAGAATCACCAACAATTCAGAACAATGCAGAAACCGAAATTGTCCAGTTTTTGTTTGCCCTTCGTCTAGTGGCAACAAAATGCAGCCTGACAGGGGACTTGTTTCATGCTTGGAAACCCTGATGTTTGCGGTCACGGCTATGCAAACAAATACGTATCACCTGCACGACACGTTTTACCAAAAATGGGATATACATGGATATATACCATATGTATACCAAAAAATGATCCAACAACGTGGCACACCATGAGATTTCGGGATACAGTAGCCTATCTTTAGACAAACCCATATCATAATACCATACTGCGGGGTTCCAATGGACTGTGGGTGTGGAATGACACCCGTGTCCAAAGCTTCCCCAGACCCCTCCAGCTTTCCCAAGCCAGCGGAGTTACCGTACTGAAGATTCATGTAGCCTTAATTCGACTCTCCGTGAATGCAGTTTTCATTTCATGTAATTCGTTGGGGATCATGATGCTAAATAAACTTACGTATTGAAACCAATAACCAGATTCTTTCATGTTCCCCACCCCATTGTTGTTGCTTCTCGTTGATCAATATGAAGACATGAAACTCAGCTCCAGTTGCCCAGGCTCTGTCGAATCATGGACTTGAAACTGCTAGTGCCAGAGGGGCTGGTTCTCAAGGTTGTTAAATAGACGCCCAATTGCTGTCGATGTTCCTATCGCTGATCCCCCCCAGTGGTAAGTTCTTCTTCGAATAGAAATCACAGGGGGTCACAAGCTGGTGACACAGTCAACAACATGGACAATGAATACGTAATATATATTACTATCGGCGTTGGCCTCTTTATTTGGGCCTTTCTGTTTTCTGGTTTTTGGACCCAGGAACTATTTGCAGATTTCTAGGAACTATTTGCAGAGTTCCAGGAACTATTTGAAAAAAACATGCATTGTATTTAGGGGAGTTACCGACGGAAATATGATGATGAGTTAGCACAGGCTAGCTAAAGGGAAAACAGCAACACAACACTTAAATGCTCTTAAGTGCTGAGTCCAACTGATTTCAGCCCTACCAGTGCGTCCCCATTGTGGGTATATGGAAATGACATCCCCCTTTGAATTAAGTGAGAGTGTTGGTGTTGACAATTTTATAGTGATAATTCTGGAGACGCTGACCCTCTTTCTGAAAATTCATCTATAGAATCAGAGACCCCAAGGTATTTTCAAGTTGACAATCTCTATAGAATTGCTGTCACTGAGGTCGTTTATGAGCATCATTTTCTATAGAATTGCTGACACCAAGTCACTCTCGTAGAGCCTTTTTTAGGTTGGGGGGGTTAGTTGGCCTTCTATAAAATCAGACTCCCTAAATATCATTCATTGACAGCTGACCTGAATGCTCCAGTTGCTCTTGCCTAGCTTACCTTATGCATTTCCAAATTTATAGGGCTCAAAGGCTCCAAGTGTTCGATGTCAACCTCTTCGATTTTATGGACTTGTGAAAAATGCTTGAAAGATCTTGACAGTTGCTCTGTTTCATTTTGTTTCCATCTGTTTCAATCCGATTCCTTTTTTTTAATCCTCGCTGCTTTGGTATCTGCCAATACTTCTCTATAGAATTGAAGAACATGACATGCATCCAAAGAGAACATATCCCACTATAGAATCGCAGTCCCTAAGGCTCTCTGCTGACTAGTACTCAGTGCTGTATTCAACATGAAATCTCTATAGAATCAGAGACCCCAAGGTCCTCTATAAAATTGAAAGCGTTGACATTGGGTAGGTACCCCTAAACAAAGCAGGGGGTTAAAACGCACCATTTTCCAGGACTTAACGCTCCTGATTCTGTAGAGGAAATTCCAAGAGGGATGAAATATATGACAGTACTCATGAGTTCTGGTATGGGATATGTGCATCCATAACATGCCAACATGTTGCCTTGCTAAACTTGGGAATCTCGTGTGTGGAAACAAGCACCTCGGGCATAAAAATACCTTTTTGATTTGATTTATCAATCGGCTAGCTTTGGCCCCTAACACAGAAAGAGGCCAAAGCAATAAGTAAAATATATATCTATATATATATATAGATATATATGATGTATGATGTATAGTAATAATCGAATTTGGACCTGCACCTAGAAAAAGAGCAACAATACCAACAGACTATGCGCATGCTAAAATATGCCGAAATGTAACCACATAAAAAGTCTGAATGTTGAAATATGCATCCGACCGCCTTGCCCCGGACAGGGATGTCACTCGTATTCACAGTAGGGTCAAGGCAAAGGTGGATCCACGTCAAATGTCGGTGTTGGATGCCACAAAAGTGTTCGAAACCCACTCAGGAAACTTGCTTAGGAGTGATGAAACTGGCCAGGAATACAAGTGGAAACCATTCCGCCATCTCCATTCTTGGAGATGCACGTCGATATGGTATTTTCAAAAATGAAGATGATGATGGCCGCCAAATTGCGCGATCTCTTCCACGTGTCCAAAGAAAATACCCCGAATTCATCCAAATTCTTCCTATATTCATGTACTCTCCTATTGAATTTAAATATAGCGATACTTGATCATGAATCATGGTTGGGTATATTCCGATATTTCCCTTAAAAAAGTTGCTAAATAATGGGTAAAATTGTAGATATTTACCAGGATAAACCCAGTCGGCCAAATCCTCATGCGCAAAGCGATTCGAGGTGGAAGTTGACCCAACGTTCTGCGAGCTTCGGTCCTTAACAACCAGCGGCCAGTGTGCGTAGGCTGCGAGTACAAGCTGCTGGTAAGCAAGTCCACCCAGATTGTGTTGAAATGGCCGAAAAACACGTCTTGTTTCAACAGAAATTGGGATATATCGAGATGATAATCAGGGCGCATGAATTGTCGGACAGGCAGGGAAATGGTGAATGGCAATCCCAATTTTTTTTAGGGGTGAGAAGCAAAACGAGCCTCCCAGCAATATCACCAATTGGAATACAAAACAATGATAAGGCCGCCCTGCTTTAATAGTTAAAGTGATATGGCCGGACGCCCTGCTTGATACACCATCTCCAGGAGCCATGGCTGGGATTCCAACGATCCCCAATTTACTTGAACAGCTTAAAAATATTTAAAAATGCCACCACCAAAAATAACAAAAGCACCCCAGAATCTAGAGACTTTCACCTGACAGGTGTAGGGAAAAACGCAAGAATGAAATATCAAACAGTGCAACGATGCAATGGAGAGTGCCCCATTCATAGATATGATGTTCAAATTTAAATGCCCATTTATGATGGGTTTCGATTGGCCCATTGGACTACTGGAGGGTATTAGCCAAAATTCCAGTCATATCCGATGAAAAATACAGTGCATTCCAATTCTACTCTCATTATACCACCCTTTTCGTTAATTACCCTCAAAGGTCCCATTAACATCCCCATTTTTGTTAGTTAAATCTTTATTAATCAAAATGTTTCATCCCATGAATTAAACAATTCATCTGGATGAATTATAACAACTCACTAACTCACTGAAAAAATCACTAACATCCATTAAATAATTATTTGGAGTTAGTGAGTTGTTATAATTCATTTGTTACTCTAACCTGAAAATAGTAGTGAAACGGTCATTTCAGGATGATTCCGGAATTCAATTCCCAACATTCCAGTGACGTCACGATGTGACGTCACTATAATTCAGCCGGATGGTTTTTCTTGGTCAAATCATGGTTAATGGAAAAATCCCTCTAGAATCACCATAGACTCCAATTCCCATTCAACCATTGGTGAACCGTTTCCCCCCAAAAAAACAAGTGCTTTGCAAATGGTGCACTGTCCATGACTGAAAGGAATTCCTCGAAACCTCCACCGCCGCCTCTGACTCGTCCGGAACGCGCTCAGAAGCCAGCTCACGCAGGCGTTCATAGTCCTGACAGTGATGTTCCGGACCAAAAACATGGCTATAATTATGGATAATTGTGGTTGATTAGTGTCAAACTAGAGGCCAATAATTAATTTAAAATAGATACTATATATTACTGTATATTTCAAGTCTTAGTTACGAAAATTTATATTTTATAGTTTCCTCTAAATTGAATTAAACGAACAATCATCTAGGCAAAATATCAGAATCCCGGCTAGCCCGGTTCGCAGTAAAATCCCAATCAAGTCAGATCTTGATCCTTTCAGATACACTCCAAAAAATAAATCTAATTTTCACATGAATATATATATATAATATATATAATATATAATATATATATATGTGTGTTTTACCACTGCGGAGTGATTTTTCATTGTGCTTAGGATTTACACGGCCGCGTTGATCACTGAGGACCCTGTACTTTGACCTGCAAGCATTGCAACCATGCAACCATCGTCCATCCGCGCCATTGAACACAACAAGGTGAATTCGAGTAATTAGTACTGGTGTGATCTTAGGATATCTCTGCAATTTGTGAACATGGGTTTCAATATGTTTCAATGGTTGACAATTCTAACTCCCTGTCTTGATGCTGGGGTTACGAGTCTTTATGAGCCCTCATTCAGCAAAAAGTCATGGATGAAATTCACGGATCATTCCACGGCTTCAGTCATCCAGTCCTAGGGTTAGGGCCACTGTCTCTACCAAGGGTTTGTGAGCCAATGTCTCTATTGCAAGTGTTGGACAATGCTATATAGTGCTCTCTGTTAATGTGCTTATGATCTTTATGGAAATATGATGAAATGTGATGAAATAGATCTACAGTATGTATAATCAAAGGGTGAAGAATTGCTTGGTGAAGAATCTTTCTCGGGTCACTTTGTTTTTCTTTTTTCGGATTCCCGTTTGCCTTATATGTGCAGCGTTTGGAGGCTGTAAGCTTGCATTTCACATGGTATTTGCACAATTTTGGAGATTAAACTTGCCAAATTACCGAGTTTTCACTGTGTTATTCTCGTTTTGTGTGGTACTTTGAATTTGAACCCATTAAGGAAGCTAACGCCTTTACTTTTGTGGCAAAATTGCGGTACTTAGCACCTGAAAGGAAAGCGCACGATTTTGGAGCTCAATTTTGCCAATTGTGCTCATTTTGTGTGGTATTTGCAACACTAGGATCATTAGAAAACTAACTGATTTAATATCGCATGGTATTTGCAGCACTTTGTACTTGGGTGTTGACAAAAGGCGGAAAAGCAAAGAAGCAAGAAAGCACACAAGCGAAGAGGCAGAAAAGCAAATAAGCAAAAAAAACTAATTACTTTACTTCGTGTGATCCCCACCATGACATTTATACATTTTGTTACTGGCAAATCTTCTGGCATTCTATCTGACATATTTTCTGGCATTCGATCTGGCATTCTATCTGGCATATCTTCTGGCATTCTACCTGGCATATCTTCTGGCAGATGTTCTGGCATATCTTCTGGCAGATGTTCTGGCATATCTTCTGGCATATCTTCTGGCATATGTTCTGGCATATCTTCTGGCATTCCATCTGGCATTCTATCTGGCATATCTTCTGGCATATTATCTGGCAAATCTTCTGGCATTCCATCTGGCATTCTATCTAGCATATCTTCTGGCATATTATCTGGCAAATCTGCTGGCATTCTATCTGGCAAACATTCTGGCACTTTATCTGGCATATCTTCTGGCATTCTAGCTGACATTCTATCTGGCATTCTATCTGGCATACCTTCTGGCATTCTATCTGGCATATCTTCTAACATTCTATCTGGCATATCTTCTGGCACTCTATGTGGCATATCTTTTGGCGTGGATACTCGCGGTTGAGGTCCGGCAGGGAACACTGGGCGTGGTCGGGTTGAGGTCCGGCAGGGAACACTGGGCGTGGTCGCGGTTGAGGTCCGGCAGGGAACACTGGGCATGGAGGTCCGGCAGGGAACACTGGGCGTGGATGGTCGTGGTTGAGGTCCGGCAGGGAACACTGGGCGTGTATGGTCGTGGTTGAGGTCCGGCAGGGAACACTGGGCGTGGATGGTCGTGGTTGAGGTCCGGCAGGGAACACTGGGCGTGGATGGTCGTGGTTGAGGTCCGACAGAGACCACTGTGGTCGAGGGTCGCGGTTGAGCAGGAGGAGGAGGAGAGGAGAGGAGGAGAGGAGAGGAGATGAGAGGAGAGGAGGAGCAGGCAACTGACATAAAATCTAACAACCCTCACCTGGCAGGTGGGGAAAAAGCAGAGAAGTAAAAAGAACAAAGAAGCAAAAAAAAACAGAGAAGCAAAACAAGAAACAAAAAGGCAGCAAAGCAGAAAAACTAAAGCAACGAAACATCCCCAAAGGGTACTAAAAGCAGAAAGCAATGGACGGTCCAAAGAAAATCCCTTCCCATAATCTGTGGGTCAAAACCCTGGTATCCCCACCACGAAAATCGCCAGTAAATGGCAAATCATCCCCTAGAAAATGGAACTCCAATGGGATGTCACCGCCGCCAGAATTCTCCCATCTCCTCTTCCTCCATGGCAATGAACTCACTATTGACGTCCTCTTCAGAGTGCACCACCATCCTCGGGTGGATAGTGGTGCTCCACTTATCGCTGGGTCTAACCCCATGCCATGGGAAAAAATATCCAGCCGAAAAATGAAAACAGATGAAAATAGCTGGCACATGGATGTTCACTTCCCACCATATTGACATATGGACCCATATGTTGATCCATCCTATGTGTTTTTCAAATTATACGGAGAAGAAAAATCAGCATTCCAAGTTCTAGGTCTGGTTTGATGGTTTGAAGCCCCTTTGCGTTGGCCAATCACCAGAGGCCGAACCCGCTGCGATGCGCACACCAATGATTGATGACATCCGCAAACTCCACATCAACGGAGATCATGGAGATCCTGTTTTACTACTGAACAACGACCAGCCGATCTGCAAGCCCCATAGCTTGCAGATTTAACCTATAAATCATGGGTATCCCCAGTCGCATGAGTTCTGCCCAGACTGTTTTGATTTGAAACCACCAGCCTTGGTCGTATCCCCATAGTTGGCAATCTGGGACTTTCATAAGATGTCCTGAATTGAAAACAAACAAGTTCAAGATCATATCCCTCATAAACCATGATCTATCGTGAGGTCGCTGTGAGATCCCTATAATCTAACCAGGAATGATCACTAATGACCTGTGTTTCATTGGGACCTACTCAGTAGGAACTCTATTTCGCTAGGAGTAAGTTAAAACATGTTAGAACAGGTATGTTTCTGTTTCATTTAGCAGAACAACTACCCTCTGGTAATTTAACATAGCTATTGAAAATCACCATGCTATTAATGGGTAAATTCACTATACAGTAAATGGTGATGTTCCATAGTTATGTTAGTCATTCATTACCAGAGGGTAAGGGATTTTCCACTACCCATCCAGTTGGTTGGGTGACGAGCTTTCGGCCATGAAGAGCGCCATCCCAGGACGTGACGAAACAAAATCCGGCTGTGGAACGGGGGACTCTGCCAAGGGGAGCCAAAGAGCAAACCGGCAATGTTTGAAGTAGATCAAGCTCTGCTTACACACACAGAGATGTATATGTATATAATTGTATATATATATAAGACAATAGAATATAATATAATAATATATTATATATATATTATATATATATGTGTGTGTTTGTGTGTGTATGTCTCTGAACTATACATCGCCAAAATGGCAGGTTCACATTACTAGAAAGGGGCTTTGGGGACCCCATGGGATCCCCAGGCATCCAGCAGCTGGGTGGCTCATCCAGGCACCAGGATGAGTGCTGAGTACTGGAAACCACATATTTAGGACATGTTTGGGAAATATTGGGAAATATTTAATATGTGGGACATATTGGAAACTATTTGAAAACATTGGCCATGTTTCTATGGTTGTCTCAAGAATGTAGAAAACAGAGAACATCTCAACAAATCCACACCCCTGACATACACTGTGTACGCACCAATTCATCCATACCGAGGCAACACCGTTGAAAATCAGACACCGCAGATTTTGTTTAAGCAAGTATGCACATCAATTCTATCTTGAATTGAATTTGTAATATAAATGTGATGCGCATAGTGAATACATATATTCTATGATTATCTATGTCTATATGTCTATACACTATGGGCACGGGATGTAGCTACTGTATCTCCCCCTTCTCTCTGTAGCTTTTCTGCCGCTGAATGAACCTGTGGACAGCATAGACAAGTTTCCCATCCTGGAGTAGAACACATCATTGGACTATCCTGGCATCTTCCAAAAAAAAGGTAAAGGATCCAAAGATTGGACGTTTGGGATAGTCCGTCTATTTCATGTCTATCTCCAGGATTTGACCAAGCCCCATGTCTTGTAAAAAAACAAGGCAGTGAGAAATGGCTTTGAAGAACAGCCCATCGAACTAACTGCACTTCTCCAACGATATGTTTCAATCATATCATCATGGACCCCAATAATGTCACATGATATATGTTAAACATGTTGGAGACTTTCATGCCATGGGCCACAATTCAAAAACCAAGCAAGGCGGTGTTATACGCTCAAGGGCGTATGCCACACACTTCTGTGGCAGCAACCGCCGGGGTGCTCAAACATCACCCGAGCTCTCTGGAAAACACCCCTGCCTCCAGCAGAGGGAACTGTGCAAAGAGTCTGAAACAACATCCTCCAGCATCCGGAAACTACTCAGAGCCGGGCACTGAAGCTCTTCAGCTATAAAAACAGTGTTTCATTCCGCACTCCAAAATGACCGAGCCGAGATTTCTTCTCTCAGGCATCCCCCAACAGTCGGCCACGCAGCGAGCCCAAGAGCCGTCGCAGGCCTGGCGTCGCAGCGCTGGCATCCTCGCCCAAGCTGTTGCGTTTTCTGGAGGTGTCATGGAAATCCATGGAGGTCCCACACTTTGGCACCCACTTCTGAGCATCTATTCTGTGGGTACACTATGCTTTGATGTGGTTGAATTGGTTGAATGGGTTGGGCTAAGGCTTGATTTGTGTGGACTCAAGTCTATGGCCACCGTTGGTAGCCTGTATGAGCTGAACATCATGTGCCGTGTGCCCAACAAGCAATGTGGCTGAACATGTTGAAGCAATAAAAGCAGAGGTTTGACAGTAGTTTAACCAACAGACACTACTGAACAAATGAGGGCTGGGCCGAACCACGGGTGATCCCAGAACAATAAGCCACTGGGTCGTTTGAATAGCCATTGGGGTGATCATGGCTATCATTTTTTTGGGTGACTCCGAGACTCCCCATTGCTTTATCACCAAGAGTTTGTTGACCTTGGGATACCTGGGGTATGCTGGATGCCAGGGTTGCCCATAGGTTTTCTCATGCCATCATTGGATGGCAACACGAGCCATGAATTGCCATGAATTGGATGTGTCCCGCCAAAAAAAACCAAACATACCTGATTGAAATGATCTGATCAAGTTGTAAGCTACAGATGCTAAAGCCGAATGTCATGCTTGGGTTGACTTCTGCTTCGGTAAACCATGGCTCGTAAACTATGGATCGTAAACCATGGCTCGTAAACCATGGCTCGTAAACTATGGATCGTAAACCATGACTCATAAACCATGGCTCGTAAACCATGATTCGTAAACCAAGACGGCCATGACTCGTAAACCATGGCTCGTAAACTATGGATCGTAAACCAAGATCCGTATTATAAACTATGCTCCGTCAACTATGCTTCGCGCCACAACGGCGTGCACTTTTTCGACATCTCAACTGCCAAAAGTGGTCCGGACCTGGTGTGTTTTGTACATGTTGACTTCAAAATGTGCTTCGCGCCACAACGGCGTGCACTTTTTCGACATCTCAACTGCCAAAAGTGGTCCGGACCTGGTCTGTTTTGTACATTTTGACTTCGAAATGTGCTTCGCGCCACAACGGCGTGCAATTGTTCATCTCTCATCTCCCCAGATGTCTCCGCATCCGCCGCTTTAGCGAGCCTACTTTTCAACCCTCCGGAGCCACAAAACCACCAAAAAACACAGTGTTTCGCGACTTTCCTACCTTTTCGCGCACCTGCATCTTCTTTCTTCTGACTCTTTCTCTTCTGATCTTCTCTCTTCTAATCTTTCTCTTCTCTCTGCCTCTGCCCTGCTCTGCTTTTCATCTGTCCATATTGTCGGAAGTTTGACTTCTAAACTTCCTTCGATGATGTGTAAGATGAGACTGTGCATGTACTATCATGTACTTGCCAGAGGGGGTGGGATTTTGATATGACGTGGAAGATGAGAAATGTGCATGTACTTGCCAGAGGGGGTGGGATTTTGATATGACGTGTAAAATGTGGCTGTGCTTGTAATTGCCAGAGGGGGTGGGATTCTGATATGACGTGTAAGGTGAGACCGTGCATGTACTTGCCACAGGGGGTGGGATTTTGATATGACGTGTAAGATGAGACTGTGCATGTACTTGCCAGAGGGGGTGGGATTTTGAGATTACGTGTAAGATGAGACTGTGCATGTACTTGCCAGAGGGGGTGGGATTTTGATATGACGTGGAAGATGAGACCGTGCATGTAGTTGCCAGAGGGGGTGGGATTTTGATATGATGTGTAAGATGAGACTGTGCATGTACTTGCCAGAGGGGGTGGGATTTTGATATGACGTGTAAAATGTGGCTGTGCTTGTAATTGCCAGAGGGGGTGGGATTTTGATATGACGTGTAAGGTGAGACTGTGCATGTACTTGCCACAGGGGGTGGGATTTTGATATGACGTGTAAGATGAGACTGTGCATGTACTTGCCAGAGGGGGTGGGATTTTGATATGACGTGTAAGATGAGACTGTGCATGTACTTGCCAGAGGGGGTGGGATTTGATATGATGTGGAAGATGAGACTGTGCATGTAGTTGCCAGAGGGGGTGGGATTTTGATATGATGTGTAAGATGAGACTGTGCATGTACTTGCCAGGGGGGTGGGATTTTGATATGATGTGTAAGATGAGAATGTGCATGTACTTGCCAGAGGGGGTGGGATTTTGATATGACGTGTAAGGTGAGACTGTGCATGTAGTTGCCAGAGGGGGTGGGATTTTGATATGATGTGTAAGATGAGACTGTGCATGTACTTGCCAGAGGGGGTGGGATTTTGATATGACGTGTAAGATGAGACTGTGCATGTGCTTGCCAGAGGGGGTGGGATTTTGAGATTACGTGTAAGATGAGACTGTGCATGTACTTGCCAGAGGGGGTGGGATTTTGATATGACGTGGAAGATGAGACTGTGCATGTAGTTGCCAGAGGGGGTGGGATTTTGATATGATGTGTAAGATGAGACTGTGCATGTACTTGCCAGAGGGGGTGGGATTTTGATATGACGTGTAAGATGAGACTGTGCATGTACTTGCCAGAGGGGGTGGGATTTTGATATGACGTGGAAGATGAGACTGTGCATGTAGTTGCCATAGGGGGTGGGATTTTGATATGATGTGTAAGATGAGACTGTGCATGTACTTGCCAGGGGGGTGGGATTTTGATATGATGTGTAAGATGAGAATGTGCATGTACTTGCCAGAGGGGGTGGGATTTTGAGATTACGTGTAAGATGAGACTGTGCATGTACTTGCCAGAGAGGGTGGGATTTTGATATGACGTGTAAGATGAGACTGTGCATGTACTTGCCAGAGGGGGTGGAATTTTGAGATTACGTGTAAGATGAGACTGTGCATGTGCTTGCCAGAGGGGGTGGGATTTTGATATGACGTGGAAGATGAGACTGTGCATGTACTTGCCGGAGGGGGTGGGTTTTGGTTGCTGAGGTTTGGTTGCTGAAGCGAGAGTAGATTTTGGTTGCTGAGCCGTAGTTGCTGAAGCGAGAGTTAGTTTTGGTTGCTGAAGCGTAGTTGCTGAAGCGTAGTTGCTGAAGCGAGAACCTAGTTTGGTTGCTGAGCCGTGGTTGCTGAGCCGTGGTTGCTGAGCCGTGGTTGCTGAGCCGTGGTTGCTGAGCCGTGGTTGCTGAGCCGTAGTTGCTGAGCCGTAGTTGCTGAGCCGTAGTTGCTGAAGCGGAGTTTAATCGTCATGCTTGTCCCTCGTGGAAAAGCAGGCAAAAGACTGAACATCCTCAAAATTCTAAAAAATCATCTAAATTGTCAAAAGCTAGCTCCGCTATGTTCGACAGCCGCAGCTGCACCGCCTTTTCCCACCGTCGTCAAGCATCTGTCGGACCGTAGCCTTGAAACTGTTGCCACTACTTGAGCTCAATCTCAAATTGCCCAGGTAGATGCCAAGTTCTTTGCGCTGTTCCTGCCATGACCGAAGCTGGCACTGCAGACGCAAACGGAAAGTTTTTGAGTGGGTAAGTTCATCCAGTGTCAATCAGTTTCATATAGTAATCCCCAAAGAATTAGGAAACGTGATTTTTCACCGTCAAAGATCATCTAAGCAGGAGTTTAATGGATTTACATGATTTTACTATCTTTGGGGGGTTGCTATAAAATGCTACAAAATCGCTTCTATTGTAAACCCGTGCGCCTCTGCTTTTTAAATACCCCCACTGTTTGGGGTTCCACCAAGGCTTTCGATTGTACCAGTAGCCTTGGTGACTGTGTCCCTGTCGGGTAGTTGCGGCTACACCAGCCACCCGGAAATTTTCTACACTACAGCCACTCAAAGGCAGAGAGCAAAACCCACCATACTCACTCAGAAACAAACCAATGCCAAATTCAATCAATCCAATATTGATCCGAAGTGGTGGTTTCCTAAAATAGGGGTAGCCATGGTACCCCAAAATCCCTAAAATCATCAATTGTCATCAATTGTCCATTATTAGAAGAGAGACATCGAAACGAAAATGCCACATAAATACAGTGTCGTCCTCGTGCATGAAGCGATTTGATGCGGATGTTGATCCATCAGCCTGCAAGCGCCGATCCTTACTGGAGCCGAAGGTATTTCTCAATGAAAGACTGAAGTGGATGGTCATGAACATTGCACCACGTTCAAGAAGAATTCAAGGGATCCACGTGGATCAGTAATTCCGGATCTCTCTCTCTCTCTCTCTCTCCTTCGCCATCTTCAACTAACTAGGGCAAAGGGTGTGCAACACACCATGACAATCTCGTACAACCATTTCCAACCATTAAAAACAGAGCCAAAGGAAGCATCTCAACGCCTCTCCGCCTCTCTTCATCCCAACAATCATAACCCATGGTCACAGCTTGACCCATTGCAGACTGGGATGCATACCCAAGGATTGCTCGACTCATGCCAACACAAGGGGACGAGACAAAACTGAGTAGCCTCAAAGCTACACTGTAGATACAAATAATTTTGCAAAGGCATGCCGAGACTTTAAATCATATTGCAATTTCCAGTGACTGTCCATGAGTAGAATGAGTTCCTGGAAGGTCGTTCTCCAACTGGAAGCTCCTGGCTTATGGGCTGCACCATGCTGCACCCTTCCCCCAATCCTGCGATTCACAATCCTTGGGAAATGCTTGGAAATTCCCCAAAGGAAGTTTTGCTGCAAAAAATATGACTCAAAATTCTCGAAGATTTCCTAAGCAAAGGCAGCTGGTCCTCAAGGTCCTCAGGTCACTGGAGTTGCCATCCCTACGTCCCGTTCCCTGCATTCCTCGTCATTGCCCATCTCGAAATCGTCAGTGCTGTTGCTACCGATATCTTCGTCCCCACATTCCCGCAGGATCCTAACGCTGAAACAATGGCAGAAAGCGGAGGCAGCAGGGGGTTCCCACCAGAAAGATACAGTAATGGGTTAAAACAATAATAAACCATCCCCCAAATCACCATAGATGGATGGTATAAACCATAAAAAATGGGGTGGTTTATTATTGTTTTACAAACACTAGTCTTTTTTTTCTTCTTCTAAATTGCTTGATCCACTGGAGCTTGATGCCCCTGGAAAATCGCGCCCAACTCAACCCAAAATCGCCTTGGTTTCCGTGGGTTTTGCAAGCAGCCCTGACGAAAAATGCCCGCGGCTTCTTTGGATGTGCCCATTGCAGACATCTGTGACAGTGACATTGGATCCACATAGAAAGGGGTGCTGGAGCCGAGATGTGGCCAGAAAAGTGAAGAAACTGAGCCATCAATGGGAGTACTGGAGTACCCTTAAGTCATCCATGTTATTTTCGATTTTTCATGGATTTTCCATTCTAAGCACAAACCATCCAGGTATTGGGCTACTCCCCATTTCTGGAAAGCCCACAAAAAACATCTACCAGGTCTGATCACACAGCTACCGATGTTCCGATGGCCGCCTACGGCTCGACCGGCTGGGATGACGTTTACGCAAAGGCCAAGGTCAGCCTGCCAAGAGGGAGAGCAAAAACCGACATCCCAACATGGGAGACGGCCGTATATCTGCTTGGTGGTTGACCTACGCCTCTGAAAAATATGAGTTTGTCAGTTGGGATTATTATTCCCAATATGTATATGTCTATATATATATAGAAAAATACCAAACGTTCCAAACCACCAACCAAATATCAATACATGATTGTGGGACGGCCATAAGAGTTTACCTCCGTCGATTTCCCATTACACTACCATTCAATGCCCATTAAATCCACCATGTTTCATGGCCAAAAAAAAATACTGCCGGATATATTCAATTAAAGAATCTCACAAAATTTTACCATCTTGGTTATATCATGTTAGATCCCCCGGGTTATTTAAAAAAACAATTAAATTCACCACTTAGCTAAACTTACAGTATAATTAGGTGTAAATGCACGCCTCCAACGCGCTTGCTTTGTCGTGGAAAGATATAAATTAGGTGCAAATTACTGTAAATTGGTGGGTTCCAAACCACAATGTCCTTTTGATAAAAATAGGGGGGACGATTTGGTATGCCATTATTGCCATTTATATATTGCTTGCTTGATGGCGGCAAGCCAGAGGGCTTAGTCAACCAACCAGTGGCAAAAAAGGACATCTATGGTTCCAAGACTTTACACTGTACACCATTTTGGCTTGTCTGACTGAAAAAGGGGCACCCAAAAATCCGTGATGTGTCATTATTTTCCCTATTATTCCCTATTATTCCCTATTCAATAGCTATGTTTTGATATTTTGTTGGGTCCCATTTCCAGACCCATTTCAGCAATGTTCAAAATCCTCTCCATCGTCACGATCGTCCCTTTACTCTGGTTAGTCAATAGGATTTCCCATAATTCATGGATTCTGGTTCATCCCCTTATTCTTTGGGTAGTACAATCCCCAAACCAATCATCAACCAACAGGGGTTTTGAATAGTAACCCACCCAAAATAGTTGGTAAGTTGTATCCCCATTAGATGCCATCAGTATCCCATTAACATCCCATTAAACGACCAGAATGGAATAACCAACCATTAAACCACCAAGAAAACACCATTAACTGACCATCAAATAGGGATGGGTCAAAACCCTGGTACCTAGTGAACCCCAAAATAGCTGGTAAATGGATGTTCATCCCACTAATGTATCTATAGGTATTGACCCATACCCAAATGCCCATTAAATGACCCTTAAACGACCGTTAATTGTCTCATGGCTGGGCCAGCGGCCTCCAACATGAGCGTGGACGGCCGCGCCATGGACGTGCGCCGGGGAGACCCCACGGAGACGGAGCCGACGGATCCGGCCTAGCTGTTGGAAGGTCCAAAAAATCTGGGGTCTTAGCCAAAAAAAGTGGGAAGCATCATCTAAGATGTATAGAAATGGAGTTTTTTAATGTTTTTTATGTGGATGGAAATGGAATAAATGGCATTTTTTCATGTGGGAGACCCAATGAAAAAGAACTGCCATGAAGCAATGGATGGGTTGGTTGCACCCTTCAAAATGCTACTGGGATCTCAAGAGGTGATGGTTAAACGACCTATTCATGGAGATTGCGTGAGAAAATGTTGGAGATAATATCCCTGCTTATTACTGATGGTGTACTGATGGTTAATATGATGGTTAATATATGGTTAATATATGGTTAATATATGGTTAATAACCCATAGGATCCATGTATGCTATATATGGAAACATTTACCATCAATATACCCCAAATGTTAGCATATATACCATACATGGATCCTATGGGTAATGAGAACAATCATTACTGTACTGTAATTTATAGTACTCATCATCATCATCATCCTCGTCATCATACCACAGGACAAAAATCCCCGTTGATGACACGGGCCTCCTGTTCGCTCAATTTGTTAAAGCACTTCACCTGGCGGAGATTCAGTGATCCACATAGCTCCCAAGTTAGATGCCTGAGTTTGTGCTGTCAAAGCACCTTGGGCAAAGGTACTGGGGAATGAAGTAATCAACACAAATCAAATGTTGAAATACATAGATATTCGAAATATGCTGATTACAGTATATAAGTCTGATTAATCAAGCAACACAACAATATACTGTTGGCCAGCATTGGCCAGCCGTATTTGGATCAAAACACTGAGTGCCTGCATGACACTACCGGCATTGCATCATTTGCCACCACAACACCAATATTCAATACAATACCGAAAAATATTGAGTTGCACTGCCCCCGGAACGAAGAGAATTGATGAAAATCACCTAGATGCCCCCAGATTCCCGGAAAAGAACCGGACTGCGTGATTTCCCTGGCATGGTTCAAAAAAACAACTCAAGCACTCGCAGGCCTTTTACACTCCAACTGGCACCCTTTTTACACCGAAGCGCAAGCCTCACCCTCAACCAGGAGGTAGATATCATCTGGTGGATCACCCTCCCGAAAGAGGACTGTGCCGGGACCAAAGGAAACCTGCCGTCCAGAGGAGCAACCCCAGAGACCCCGAGCCGCAAGCGCAAGCTGCGGCTTCCTTCATTTTCACTTCAGTTGTTCGTGCTGTTTACCAACATCCCGTTGCAAAATGGACAATTCTGCCACTAGCCTGGGTGAATTCTCATTTATAAACAAATATATAGGTTAATGAATAAACAAATAAATAAATGTTTGTAATTTATAATATTTTAGAATATATATATATATATGTGTGTGTGTGATTTATTGTATCTATATGTGTGTGTGCCTGAAAATGCCTGAAACAAGGTCGTAATTTTTGCAGTTCCCGACACATCACACCTCACCTAACGAATGGTGATATCCCACCGCAGCTCACAAGACCTGCTCTACCACTGAGATCAATTCATCTTTCGCAGCCGATGGCAGCTCCTGGAAGATCGCAGCGGATCGATCTGAAATGGAATGCGGGTTTTCGGAACCAAGTGACGCTGATTTTCCCTTTTCTTAACAGCGGAAATGATGAGCAACCTATCAATTGGCCTCCTAGCAATCCTCTTCAGCAGGGTTTTCTCCTGCTTTCTTTCAATCGTTAAATGGTGAATCGAGGCATTTGTTTAATTGATCTATATATATGACCTATGGCAATCCAACAAAAATAGGAAGGGATTTAATATGTGTATGCGTGTGTGTGCGTCTATACCCTCTGGTAATTTAACATAGCTATTGAAAATGGCCATTTATAGTGGATTTTCCCATTGAAAATGGTGATTTTCCATAGTTATGTTAGTTTACCAGAGGGTAAATTGTATTTCGATGTATTTCGTTGATTTGTTTGGCTGTTCCCAGCCCCTTAGAAAAGCAGCCCCGGCCTTGAAGAGCTCAAAGACTGAGAGTTTCTCCTGCGCTGAATGACACCATGGAAGAACCGAGAGGGTACTCTCGGGTAGTCCAAGACGGAAATTCTAAGCAACCCCCTATAGATGGAGGTTTACAGCTCGGAAATTCATGTATAAATTCGCAATTTTCCAGTCAGCAAGCCATGTTTGATTACCAGAGGGTGACGAATGGATAGTGGTTATTGGTGCAATGTGGTGAAACGAGTTGAACACAATCCCTCAATGTCGTACCACAAACGGGTTGTGAAAAAATATCCCCAACTGGTAGGTGCATGGCATAGGATGCACGCCACATTAGATGTACTGTGGCACGCCATCTGGGGATCATATTTGATCATATGTGTGCATAAAGAAGTAGGTGAGGCCAGCCAAAACTTGAGCAAACTTGGTCATAGGCTTTTAGTTTCTTGGTTGAAGCGGCCAGCATTAAATCATATCATATTATATATATATAAATTCTAGCAAACAAAAAATCTCTGGAGATGGGAGAAAACGAGTGAAAATAACAATAATAACATAACATAACACTTTGACTCAGTCCTTCAAAATCTGCCGAGCTCGGTTCGCCATGAGGATGCAAGGAAGAGCGTCTCAAAGAGCGTGAAATCATGTAGTTAATTGAAGTATCACCACAGTGACCGAAGCACACCTCCAAAATTGAGATATTATAAATATATATATATATAAAATAAATATATATATATATCTTTGATTATAAACTATATGATTAATCATGATGATATTCGTCCGCCAAAATCCCCAGTGAAATTCTGGTGCCTGATGCTTGTTTGAGTCTTTGTTTGTTGTGTCCAATGGGTCCCCAGTGGTGTGAAAAACCCCTTTGCTGCCTTTGGCAGTGGGGTCGAGCCACTTTTCGCCAGGAAATGAAAAGCGCAGCATAAAACATCATGGAACCATCATGGAACATTCTGTTGGATCTTTGGGGAGGAAACCACACAGAAGGCCCATGCAGATCATCGTCCGGTACATCCACCGCAGTGATCACCTTTGGCTGCTTGATTCACATTCCGAACCCCCATGGCCTTTTTATATATAGGCATTCTCTATCTAACTGCAGCATCCAACCCATTCCCATTCTCACAATGTTCAAAATCGAACGATGCTTGGATGGTGCCACGCCCTTCCTTTTGATGCGACTGCTTCCACCATCGCGGGTCGAAGCCCCCCCCGACGTTAAGCACCCTTCAGAGTAGTGTGCCAAGTCCCCAAAAAACACATGTGGCAAACTGGCCCCATACGGGTTTGTCTCCAATGTGCGGGACATCGCAACATGTTGCGCCAGGAAACCCAATAACATCCAATAACCAAATATAACCAGATATAGTGATCATCTATGATAATTTGATAATAAAACATGAATTTTGGCGTTCCAAATTTTGAGACAATCATAGACAATCTTAATTTTAAATGACCCCTTACTGATCCATCCAACCATATCCAACCCTATGGGGGCCCCACGGTCCCCAATCATCACGTCCCCAGCAGCTAAATCCCATCACCATAGGACTTAGGAGGACTTTGAGATTCTACTACGCTTTTGTCATGTCAACCATGCATGTATTCCAATATTTCCAATTTCTTGTGGATATGTCGTTTCAAAAAGTGGTATTGTTCAAGCAAAACGGGCCACTTTCAAAACAATTCGGTCATTCTGACAGCCAGTCGTTTGTTTAAATAGTTCTCCAAATGGATAAGTTAAAATAATTAACATCCATTATCTGATAATTATCTGCTTCTGCATTACCTATAAATGTATATAAATGTCTGTCTTCGTCTGTACAATGTTCTGCTGTGACCTTTGGGTCTTCCAAAATCTGCCGTCAGGATCTGCCTCCGTGGTCCACTGGATTCCACTGGTGCAGCCATCAGGATGGGATCCACTTCCGCTCTCCATTTTGCTCCTCTTTGGCCTGACAAGTCGCCACAAAAGCGACTTGTAAAGCTGACTCACATGTAGCTTCGTATGTTCATGATGTCCATCATCGTCCATCATCATCCTCATCGTCCTCATATGTCCTCATCATCGCCATCATCATCACCGTCATTCTCGTTCTCGTTCTCATCCTCGTCATCATCAATCATCATCCTAGACCCAGTACCTTCCTACAGTACTATTATAATTTATCATAATGATTATGCTGTGGAATCCTCTAGTGATATCCAAAAATCAAAGCATCACCTGGCAAGACAAAGGTTTACTCAGTTAAAAATCCCAATTACCAAGATTGATGATAAACAGGACTTAACCATACGGCATACAAGGCATCGAAGTCAGCTGACCGTGTTTGGTGGTGGCTATCATACCTCATACTCATAATATACCATCTGGTTATCAAACGTAGCAATGGAAAAGCCTGTTTAATTGAGGTTTATAATATTTTATAATTAGCTGGGAAAATCATCTCTCTCTCTCTCTCTATCTGGGTGCTTTTCCAGCAAGCCAGGTTTGAATAAAATCGGCGTGTTTTTTAGCGAAGAATTAAGTTCAGAATGTCCATTCTGAAAGGAATGGATCAAGTCGCGGCTTGCCCCAAGACATTCCAATTTGTTTTTTTACTTTCATCTCTGAAACCTGACCAAATTCCACCTCTGCTTTTGTCGCGTCTTCACTCTTGAACAACCAGCAACGCACCTTTCTCAACGCCTCTGGGGCCGGGTAGTCCGGAAGAAACGTCACGTCCACCTGGCCAGTAGAAATCATACTGCTGCGGGCACCCGGACATCCGGGGAAAACCAATTTTTGGGGGACTGGTGTTTTGCATTGTTTGCTGATCATTGTTTGTTTTACTATACCTGGGGACCTAGGCCTTCAAAAAATCAAGAATTTGTGGCCGACCCTAGTGTTCTACTTTTCTGGACGCTAATTCAAAGATGTTTTGGTCTCTCCAAAAACTGGTCGTGAACTTGATTAGCCCTGCATTGAGCTGGGTCACGGAAAAAGCCGCTTCAAATGGCCACAAAACAAGTCGTGCAGCCCCATCGGCATGGTGATGCGCACACAGTCTTTAAACTTGCCATCATGGCCATGAGAACTATGCCCCCCCAAAAAAAAAGAAAACAGAACGCTCAACTTTTCCAATTTTGGGGCATAACTAGTATGAAACACAGTCAAAAACCGATGTGACCTAGTTTTTTTGGAAATTGCATGCTTTTGATGGTTTTTGTAGGCGTTTCGAAGGGTTTCTGAAGGAGTTTTCAAGGCTTTTGTAGGCGTGAATTTTCTCATAAAACATGCAAATCGAACACAAAAACTAACATAAATGATCTATAAGAAATGGTGAGCCCAAGAGTCTGCCAGTAACCTCTCAAAGCCGATTGACGAGCTAACATGGCTGGTCAGAGTTAGGCGTATCGTTTTTATTCACTTCTGGTGGATGGAGGGTAGGTGGTGGTTGACCCTGTCGGTTTGGGGCCACCTGTCATTGCGTCATTTTGTTCTATCAAACACCCACGCTACAAAATTCAACTGAAAGAGGATTGGATGATGTTGGATGTGTAACATGGGAATGCATCATGAAAAGAAACCAGGGAAAACATAAAACTTCAAAAGTAGACGCTTTGGTCAAGAACTACTTTTCTGACCGATAGCTCAAAAATGAGTCAACAACGTAGTCATCCAGAAAATTTGCGACGAACGAAGACCTAGGTAATAAAACAATTTCTATCAGTTTCTCTACTTTTTTGGGATGCTGATTCCAATCTAGTAAGCAGCGCAAAACGCAAAGATCATGCAAGAGAAAAGGTTGAAAAACCATACCGAAGTAGGGATAGTGAACCAAGCTCCAGTCCAGTAGAAATCAAAATGCCAAAATGCCTGCAAAAGGTGAAATTAGATCTCTACATATCCATCCATCCATCCACCCATCCATACGGCCATCAGCTGTCCACTGATCTATCTATCCAATGTCATACACACAAAATCACATACAATATTGTATTATCATATAATTTGTGTTTGGCCCATGGCCTGTAACAGTTGCACGATTTGGGGCACCATTTGGTGCACGAAGAATTTTGCTAAAAATTACACTTGCCTACCCACAGTGCGACGTTTTTTTTCCTTAATCAAGTGCTTTGGTAAAGGAGGTGTTCAATATTGTTTTGGGGAGAAGGCACGATTTGGTGCACGACAACACGTACAAAAGACCATGATTAATCATATAATATATATATAATTTTATATATATATAGACGGATCAAAATATAAATATATCATGGATTATCATGGTATATATACGTTCATTCGCTTAAAAGCCTTTGTTCTCCGACAGAACACACAGCCGACAGCGCCACCGTTTCCATCCCCGCGGAGAAAGCAGACTGGAGGCCACTCTCACCGTCCTGGCTTCGGAGCGGGAACACTCACTATAAAAACCGTTGAAAACCTCATGGGAGTGAAGATGAATCCCGTTTTTAATCATGTGCGAACGGGAAAAACACACAATGTATAGCGGAGGAACTCTCTCTCTCTCTCTCTTTTTCAGGCATCTTGACTTCGGTGATTGCATTTAAGCGCCCAGTTTTGAAAGCTTCATCAACAGCTCAGGCTTCACTTCCATCTGGTTTCATTTGTAACAGCCACCCATCACTATGGTCGGGCAACTCCGATCGTGCATCATCTGGCCTACTGTCACGTTGCAAAAAATGTCCCCCACACAAAGACCTTGATACAATCTGCAAGCCCTGTAATTGTTCACATCAAAAAAAAAACATACATTCCAAATCATTCAAAGACTCTGATGAATTTTTGCCTTACAAATTGGGTAATGTGCTTAAAACAATGTCATAAACCTCCCACGGGGAATGGTGAATTTGGGGGTGACAGGATTGGGTGATCTCATGCATCGACCTCATAGGCTCGGCAGAAACGTGGATCCACCCCCAAACGACGGGCCTCGTTTAAGCGCTTTACGAAAGCCACCGGGCATTCATAAGGAGAAATGGAGAAATGGCAGCCCAAACTTACAAAGAAGTACGGTGGTGCCTTCGTTGAATATGTATATATATATATATACATGTTGTATATATGTATATATATATATATGTATATGTACATAGCTGTGAGTGGGGAAGGAACATCATCTAAAAATTTAGGGTCTGGTCGCAGGTTCCGATGTTCCATTGTGTGGTTTGAACCCCCAAATTTTGACTCCATTCCCCCGAAACCTCCGGCTAAATCATTATCGTGATTTCAGACATCAAGAGTTGGGAAAAACTATACAAACATATTACTAACATATACAGTAGAAACTGGGACTATCCATGATTCGTGGACACATAATATATGATCTGGAGGTATGTGTGCTAGCATCAAAACATAGTATATGGATACATGGGTATGTTTGAAAATGGGGTATACCCCCAATTATAGCCATTTAGTAGGGATAATGATCATTAACCATTGGGTGTAGGGGTACACTATTTTCAGACAAACCCACATAATGATGCATATGGATATATTGTGGTTTGTATGGTCGTCTAGTGACTTTTCCCCATCATTTTCGGGAATCCCCTGCCGCAATCCAAGCTTCAGGCTGCTTCCAAATAAATGGCCGGATCGGGCCTTGGCGTTGCTGGTTGGTGGTTGGTGACCTCATGCCCCATGTGATCGACTGGAGTGCTCATAGATCTTCATGATGTTCATATGTTGTTGATGTTGTTGTTGTTGTTGATGTTGTTGTTGTTGTTGCTGTTGTTGCTGTTGTTGTTGTTGCTGTTGTTTTTCCATCATGCATTTTCATATGTTGCATATATAATATTAATTACTTAACACTGCACTCTTCTTAAGTTGTTGCATTGATTGATAGTGAGTTGGGTTTGTCCAAACATAAGCTACGCCCCCAGGATGGAGTATTTGGAAAGGATGAACAACCAATCAGTTCTTGCCCATGTTCAGGAAAAAAGACCGTTGAGCCTTTCAAAGTGGTGTTCAATATGTGGCATCCAAGTTCAAAAAAAAGGCTGCCTGGAAGCATCCTGGCAAGGTCCGTTTAGTTCCACCGAAACTCGACTCAGGCCTGATCCCTTTTAGAGGACTGTTTAGAGAAAAACCTTGGTGCTCCAATCAATAACTATGACCATAGATTTTATGTTAGAACAAACATGAACAAACGGTATGGTTATTATTAGTCTAAAAATGGTATGGTTCTTATTACGTCCAAAAATCCAATCAATCAGTAAGTAGGACCATCCTATTCACTATAATTACTAGGAAAACACACCCACAATAAATCTGGCCAAACTGTATGAACTCACCACCCTGAAAAAAAAACATTGAGATAGGTTGCCTTTCATTCACCATCCATTTATGTCATGTTGTGCGGTTTCTGGGGTCTCCATGGGTCTCCTCACTTCCCCTTGGGCACATCCGTGGCAAAGACCATCCGCCTGAGACCGCTCCGGCGCTGCACTGATTCGTAATATGCTCCACTGCTATGTCAAGTTCATGCAAGATGCCTGGAAAGTAGACACACCCTCTGGAAAATCTGCTTTATGATCATATCTTATCATCGAACGAATGTTCTGTTGCCCGTTGCCAGGTAGAAAACACATGATAGGGTTGCTTCAAACAGGGTGGCTTCAAGAGGGGGTGAAGGGTTGCCAATTGTTTTCTTCTCACTGATGGCACACTCAGAAGCATCTAGGAATTCCCCAAAACTGGGAAAAATCAGCCTTTTCTAGCCATGCTTAATTTGTTCTAGCATTTTCTACATGTTCTACCTATTTTTCTAGCATGTTCCAGTTTTTTCTAGTTTTCTCAATCTCTAGTTTTTTCTATATATATAGTTCAATCTAGTTTTTGCTGGTTCCGCTGTAAGGACGAAAATTGGGCAGGGGCAAGCCTGGTTCTCAAAATCTTGGGGTTATCCCGGAAGCGAATAGTTTTATCACTTGTCTCCGGCAATGTTTCACCTTTTTTGGGGCGATTGAGTCCTGTGAAGGTTTACTCCAAAAAACTAAATTGCTTCCACCAGGGTCTCAGGCTCATCTGGCACCAAATCTCGAAGGCCGGCGGCTTCGAGGTGATCCAACCTAAACTCATGGGACATGTTATGTAACACTTAGAGTGGATTATGGTTAATATATGGTTAATATATGGTTAATATATATATGATTAATATATGGTTAATATATGGTTAATATATGGTTAATATATGGTTAATAATCTGCTTGGTGGTATACCTCCCCCTCTGAAAAATGATGGAGTGAGTAACAGTTGGGATGATGACATTCCCAATTCCAATTATATATGGAAAAAATGTTCCAAACCACCAACCAGGAACATATGTAAGAAACAGAACTCCTAAAAACTGGAGATTCATTGGGTGAACTTTGATAGATTCTTCCATGGAAATCAGGTGAATGGCCTAAAATGGTTTTCTTTTTAATCAATGCCGTTTAGGGGAACATCAATAATTGCATCAAACAGCGTTTACCGTTTAAGTGACGTAAAGAGATGATGTTCCAAGTGAAGACAGGGATTTTCCACGCGGACATTGGTGCGAAAACCCAACGATACAACCTGGTAGGTGACATGGTTCCCATGGAATCTGCGCAGGGGGTCCGCTTTGAAAACCAAATCTGGCAATGCCTGAAATGAGTAAAAGGTGGAATATGTATGTCTGTCCGTCGGTCCGTCTGTCCGTCCGTCGGTCCGTCCGTCTGTCCGTCCGTCCGTCCGTATGTATCTATGTATCTATGTATCTATGTATCTACATATCTATGTATCTATGTATCTTTGTATGTATCTATCTATCTATCTATCTATCTACCTACCTATCTATCTATCTAGCTACCTATCTATCTATCTATCTATCTACCTATCTATCTACTCTATCCGCCCTATCTATCCTATCTATCCTATCTATCCTATCTATCTAATCTATCTAACCTATGTAATCTATCTAATCTATCTAATCTATCTCATCTATCTAATCTATCTAATCTATCTAATCTATCTATGTATCTAACCTATCTAATATATCTAATCTATCTATGTATCTATGTATCTATGTACCTATTATCTTTGTATCTATGTATCTTTGTATCTTTGTATCTGTATCTATGTATCTGTATCTTTGTATATGTATTTATGCATCTATGTATCTAGGTATCTAGGTATCTAGGCATCTAGGCATCTATGTGTGTATGTGTGTATGTGTGTATGTGTGTATGCGTGTATGCGTGTATGCGTGTATGTATGTATGTATGTATGTATCTATCTATCTATCTATCCATCCATCTATCTATCTATCTATTAATCTAATCTAATCTAATCTAATCTATCTATCTATCTATTTATCTATCTATCTATCTATCTATCTAATCTATCTAATCTATCTAATCTATCTAATCTATCTAATCTATCTAATCTATCTAATCTATCTAATCTATCTATGTATCTATGTATCTATGTATCTATGTATCTATGCATGTCATGATCTTTTTTCGGGGGGCTGGGGAGATTACAATGCATAAATTGCAAATGGGCTAACGCCCAGGGTTCCCAAAAAGAAGAGATGACCAGTACATGGGCTACAACAGGCTTTAGCCCTTTGACAACAGTAAAGAGTTATCAGTCTGATAGCTGGCATTTCGAACATGTTTCAAAAAATTCCAATAGATGAAATTAGATGATATTAGATGAACTCAAAAAGTGCTAAGCTGCTAAGGCATGTTTCAAGCCACTCTTTTCAAATCTCACGTTCAATGGATTGGTTTAAGGGAATGTTCAAATGCTCAATCTATAGTTTTCTTGTAGATATTCCCTTAAACCAATCCATTGACATTCTGATTTCAGAGATTTAAGGCCACAAAATCCACAAATTCATCAAATTGTCACCTCCTCAAGTTTCCCCCCGTTGCGTTCTTGTTCCCTTCTGGGGCCCCCAGGCACAATGGATTTGATGCCAGAGGTCGCGATCGCCACCGGGATACCTCGCCTCGGTGCCCGGGATGGCGCTAGAAAGTTCCACTATGAATCTGGGGAAATATTACAGTATATAAATTACCCTCTGGTTATTTAACATAGCCATGGGAAATGACCCATTTATAGATGGTTTACCTGGGTTTACCTATTAAAAATGGTGATTTTCCATGGCTATGTTAAATATCCAGATGGTATCTGGGAAAATTATATAACTGACATTTATGAAATTATTATCACTAAACTTGAAATAGGGTGATTTTAGGATGATTCCCTCTATACAAAAATATCATGAAATATCCAATATTGCGCGGATCTACGCTTGTTATGATTGCATCTGTGCAGCATCTCTTTTCTCACAGGGCACCTCATATCCCTCAAAAATATTCAATCATCACCACCCCTCCCAAAAAATGATGTTACAACCCCAACAATCGACAAATAGAGACGCTGTCTAACTCTAACTTAGATGTGTATCATACGTTTGTGAGATCCGGGACCATCTGGCAACTGGCAAGTTAACGATATCTATGCTTTGGTTCGGACGCTTTGTACTCCATGGCCATGGCCACTACCTGGGACAGTGGCACACTTCTATGGAGCAACCATGGAGCAACCATAGAAACACCATGGAAAAACCAAGGAGTGTTGTGTTATCCATGATTTTGCAAACATGAAGAATATCACAGAAGATCATGGAAGATATGGAAGGGCAAATGATGGTAACATGCGGTTTCTAAGTATGTTGAACCGAACCCGCCGACTCGAAGCAAATCAAAGCATCTTATATACATCTTCTTTTGGCAGACTTTTGGTGCCGAATTTGTCATTCAGTCGGTTTGCTTTCTAGGCCAAAAGCTTTGGGATGGGTCTACAGAGGCTACTGAACCTATTTTGCATAGTCGTTGCGTGCTTCAAAAGGTAAATGCGCCCCTTTATTGATCAACTTATGCAGTTTTTTCCCGTATATCCAACATGGTGATGGACAATTCCCATCAATTTCCAATGTATAGACACTTTTCCCAGTTAAACACGTTGATCGATCATCCTCACAAATTATTGGAGCGTAACGAAAAGTCTTTTCCATGACTTTCCCTTGGGCTATTGCCTGCTGGGGCCACAGCGCATGCAATGGGAGGAGGATGCCCCTTTTCGGCCTCAGGGTCACTATCAACATCATGGCCATGGCTCAGAACTGCCGAGTATCAGCCGTAAGCCATCAGCCAAAGCATCTAACCATCTCTTGGGCTGTAAATGGGTGTAAGTTACCAAGTTCCTCGCTGAATTTTTGTGGCCCAGCCCATCAGGCCTCCTCTTCCTTATGCAACCGGATCTTTTCTTCCAGGAAATCCCTCCTCAGCCGCGGGGCTCCAATGATGGCGGATCAAAAAGGCCATTTCTGAAGGCCTTTTGAAAGGCGCCGATCTTGCACGGCCACCATTATACATAATTGTTCATGAAATTTATGTATATATATATATATACTGTGTGTTTTACACATGAATTGACAATTTAAAGTGCATTGCTGCATCAAGTTGTAAATATACAGAGCTATGTATACTGGTTGGTGGTTTCAACCCCTCTGAAAAATATTAGTCAGATTGGATCATCATCCCAACTATTGGGGAAAATAAAACATGTTCCAAACCACCAACCAGTATGTATAATGCTATGTATACGGCTAATGATCTCCGGGGTTTGCTCTAACATGATCTCATTGAATCTCCCCAGCACCAAAAATCACCAAGTCACACAAAGTCAGAAGTGGCTTCGCTGCCTGTATCTGAAAACCAAGGGAACCAGGGTTCTTAGTTCTGGGCTGCAAAATATGGTTTATTAGATGTTTGAATTATTCAAACGAAATCTACAGGAAACCTTCGCTTTTGCTAGTAGATAAAGTGGGTCCCGCCAAAGAAACAAAGCAGCATCCAATTCTCGGATCTTTTCTTGGGTCCGGACCAAAAATTGGATGTGAGATGTATATATACATATATAGGCTCAAGGCTGGGGGTTCCCCGGAGCTTCGAGGAACCCTCAGTCTTGATGCTATACCATAAAGGTCGTTCTTGTATAGAGATGGGGGGTGGGGGGGTGGGGGTGGGGGGGTGTGTAATAACTTCATGTGAAGTGCGTTGGATGATGTTGAATCCTGGAAGATGTTGCTTGGTTGGAAGATGGTGTTACGTTGAAAGTTTCGTTGTTGTTTACAGAAGGGGGGTGAGGGGTGTGTAATAACGTCATGTGAAGTGCGTTGGGTGATGTTGAATCCTGGAAGATGTTGCTTGGTTGGAAGATGGTGTTGCGTTGAAAGTTTCGTTGTTGTTTACAGAAGGGGGGTGGTCATGTGAAGTGCGTTGGATGATGTTGAATGCTGGAAGATGTTGCTTGGTTGGAAGATGGTGTTGCGTTGAAAGTTTCGTTGTTGTTTACAGAAGGGGGGTGGGGGGGTGTAATAACGTCATGTGAAAAACATAAAACACTGTAAAACACAGTGTGAAAACAACATTTTCCATCGCCATCAAAAAAAAAAACTTCATGGACGCGAAGATAAAAAAGATGTGATGTTCATTTCGTCCATGGTTCTCCAGTGAATTATCACATGTTCTACTTATCAACAGAACAACCAAAAATGCATGAAACCGCACTTCCAATGGTTAGCATGTTCCACACATCTTTAGTCATCCATGGAAGATCTAAATTTATCCTGTTTCAGCGCGGACAAACGTCAAGTTCTTCCGCGATGAAAATGGAACTTCGATTGATCGAAAAAAATTCAGAGAAAAACATAAAAGACGGTAAAACACAGTGTGAAAACAACATTTTCCATCACCATGCCAAAAAAAAGGTTTGTGGACGCGAAGATGAAAAAGATGTGTTCATTTCGCCCATGGTTCTCCAGTGAATTATGACATTTTGTACTTATCAACAAAAACTCAAAACACGCATGAAACCGCAATCCCAATGGGAAAAATGTTGCACACATGTTTGGCCATCCATGGAAGATGTAAATTTATCATTTTTCTGCGCGGACAAACTCCGAGTTTATCCGCGCCGACATTGATACTTTCACTGATGGAACACTTTGAAGGAAAGGCAAAAAACACTGTAAAATACAGTGTAAAATCAACATTTTGCAGATCTATACAAATAAATTGCAATTGGCTTCCGGGGAACCCCCAGCCTTCGCCCTATATATATATATATATATGGTACACACACATATATATATATGTACAGTATATATTATATATACATGTGCACATAGAATCATATATGGGTTTGTCATCGTTTTACTGAGCAAAAAATGCAAATGCTGGGTAATGTCGTGAAAAACCCCTTGTGAATGTAAGAAATTAGGACTTAAAATATGTCTTGAAATTGTTACTTTATGAGGCGAACTGACAGGAAACTCCAAATAGGTCAATCCATAGTTTCCTGTAGATTAAAACCAACCCAGTGACACACCTGATTTGTTTAAGCAAGAACCTAGCGAATGATCCTCATCAACCGATGCAGCTCAAGTACAGTTCATAGGTTTGGTGTGGCCTAAAAGTTCCCAAGGAGCGGCTGCTCTAGCATCTGCAATTCGTCATCGCCAAGGCAAAAGAATGAAAAAAAAAAAAACGCTTGGTGGTTGAGGCAGCCCTCGGAAAAATATGCAAAAGTATGCAAAAGTCAATCAGTCAATCTAACAAATAATTGTCAAACCACCGACCTGAAGTTGGCTATACATCCCACTATACATCCACTTTACATATCTATGTGTTCCCAGTACATCCTCATATCTATTCTTAGCCAGGGCCCCCCTTTCTGGGCCCAACCCTTGACAGACCAGGCCTTTTTGACTTTGGTGCAGCCGCTGCACCTCGGGGGCAGGGTCCCAGATTTAGGCAAGGGTCTCCCCCATTGCTTAGGCAAAAATATCAATATGTGATCATATGTCTCTGTTTGTGTGTGTGTGTGTGTGTCTGTGTTTGTGTGTCTCTGTGTCTCTGTGTGTGTGTGTTAATGTGTGTATATCATTGTATATCTATATATTGTATATTGTCCGAAACGGTAGAAGGTAAGTTACCATGAAATGAGGGACCTCCTCCCCTCCGTGGTCCTTGATGGTTTCTTCTTGTTTGGGAGATTTCGGGGCAACATTGAGCCTCCTTTAGAGGGGCTCGATATACCCTCAAATCTCGGGTCGATATGTATTCAAACTCACCACAATATCACTTGAGGATCAAAAAACCGTGGCTCAACCGGTAACTCATGCCATATGCCAGTGGCACCCGGCCATGTCAGGCAATGGCACACCTGCAACTGGAACATACTGGGGGCCGGTGGCCCAATAGGACATGCTGAAATGTGAAATGATGGCTTATGGAAGTTGATGAACGGTTCAGCATCAGTGTGTCATCAACTCAGCCCCCAACTATCTCCAAGCCACAATCAAGACTGAAGACTGTAACTATTTCACAAGGAATAAAACAAAACCACATAAAATCACATAGGATCACACAAATCTCCGGCGTTGGATAGCCATCTTCCGCCTGCCAAGCGGTAAAAGTCCAGCTCGCTGATCTTCAGGCCAAACCTCGGCTGCATTCATCATCCCAGGTAGGATGGAACTTTTACGAAGCTTTGGACTCGCATGGCTTCGTAAAAGGTAGCCATTCTTTAACTGTGCACCAGCTACTTTCAGCCACCTTGCAGTTTTTTCAGGGGTATTTGATGTCCATGTCTGGTTTCATCTTTGCCAATGGTTACAGCTGGATGAAGCCACAAACCTCTTGGCTTCGCCTGAAAAGAGTGTACCCCATTCCATCTGCTTCATCAGTTTCCCGATGAAATGCCATTGTATATTTTGGGGTGTACCATGGTATACCCCATGTTAAAACACACCCAACTGTATCCAAACGAATAATTTCTCAGGAAATTCCCAGTGAATGCCTATTAAACTAAGCAGAACAAAACGGTACATTTGTCTGTTAAAATAGGATACCGGATACCTGGTACCCTAAATCGACTGCTTAATCACGGGACTCCAGCCTGGGTTGTTGCCCGGTCCTTGGCCATGAAGGGTAGAAGATGGGCATAGTGTCTAACCTGGGATCACTGGCAGCGATCGCCACTGGAAGTGAACATATCTTCGATCCGCAAACCATCTGCTAATGGGAAACAAAACAGCACAAGGACTGCTCAGAAAACCATATATGGTCAAGTCAAATCCATTCAAATCCCGATGTTTGATGGGAACGGAACAAGTGTCTAAGGAAATGGCTTTTTCATGGTGGACACGTCGATTGCCATCCTCGATCACTAAACGTTTCAGAAGTTTCAGAACCACAGCTTGAGCGGCGGACAGCGTGCCGTCCACATCAAAAATGGCCCCTTGAACCTACGTGGAGCTGGGGCCAGGGTCCAATGGTGACTACCCCTAGCATCAACAGCGAGCTCAACGTCGGATGTCCCAAGTTGGGGAATGGAACTGAAGAATCGAAGGTGGATCCCCTGGGTACTGTGGTGAAGGTCAACAAAAAAACTCCATGAATTGATAGAAATGAAACAAACACATTTGAGGGATGGATTGGATGGATAGCGCGCTAAGCTTCTATTGGACGTTGGCATTTCTACATGTCCAGCTGCACAAGTACCGCAAAAGAGAAGGCAAGTGGCAAGTGTTGAAAGAACATGATAGAACTATATAGAACTGATGTAGGTGATCTATTATCTATAGAAACTACAGTACATTAATTAATTAAACAGTTGGCTATGGAAGATTATGCAAAGGATATGATACCAAATCCTGGTATGTTCCTTTCGAATCCTTTGGATATATGAGTCAACCCGTCTACATATTGACCCACCGTCAAATCTCACGGAAACTTTCCGGTGGTGTTCAAGACTTTGACCCAAAACATTGCTCAATTGGGTCGAGGAGCTCAGACACTACAAACAGATACAAACAGAAGGCTTTAATGAGACCATCTGGGAGAAAAATGGAGCTAAAACAAAAACAAGGAGGGTGTCAAACCAACAAGAACAAGAAGGGCGCCAAAGTAACAAAAACTGGTACCAGTAGCTCAGCCAAGAAATCTGGATCAGCACTGGGCCGTCCCCAAGGTCACAGGCCTCTGCATCCTCCAATCTCCTGGGACCCACCTGTCAGGTCGAGCCAAGGACCAGCGATAAAAGGGGTACAACATGGGTACGGCCATAGCATCTGTAGCGCAGCTATAGCTAATTAGGCTATCATCCATCATTTTCCATCATCCCACTTGCCATTCTGATCTGGTCTGAGGCTGCGTGCCGTCACCATGGGCAAAGTGTCGTAGGGGCACGCAACCCACAAGGTAGAACCCCTAACCTAACCCCAAAACCACCGTGGTTCTTTGGCATGATAGGAACCTTTCTCTGCCCTTGCAGCTGTGCATTTCTGCCAGAATTTTGCCATTGTGGATGCAGCGAGGAGGAAGATTAAGATCAATGTTTTGGTGGTGGCGTTCATGATCCTGTCAAACTGTCTTCAGTCGATTTTGCCAACTGTCCCCATCAATTGACAACCCCTCAACAGTCGAAAGTTGTGAATATCACCGCCATGTTGACAGGAGACAAATGGGTCACTCTGCAATAAACTCATTTCTATATTTCTTTGGGCCAAAGTGTTGCAAAGCATATGGAGAACATGTTTATGAAAATGCTAACCTGGCCGATGGATAGTGAAACATCTGACAACCCACAATGGGTATCTGCCATGGGTCAAACTCTAGGACCGCCGGGACCCAGTCTCCCCATGTCTGAGTCTAGCATCGTGATGTCCTAAAACAGTATATCACAGTGTGTGTTTATATATGCGTATGGTGTTTCCATAAATGGGGGTACCCCAAAAATTTATGCTTTAAGATAGAAAATCCTATCAAAATGGATGATTTGCCCCCCCCATTTATGGAGGCCTTCATATTTCGTTAAGAGTATATACTATACATATATATATATATGTATTAAAAAAATGTGCACATTTAAGCCAGACTCATGCAGGACCACAAAATCCGGCAAATAGTTGGTTGACACGGCAACATCATCCTAGATAAGGATAGGGATGAAGATAATCAGAGTTCAATCAATCCATCAGCAATCTCGATTGGTAACTCATACCGCAAGACCTCTCTGCAATGCCTGCCATTTTCTGTCTCTAAAATGCTGCAGCAGGGCCCCCCATCGCTGCAAACTTGATATCTGACGGGGTGAAACGATCGGTGCATGCGGTAACGAGTCCCATGCTTGTGGCGGAAATGGCAGGAACCTCTTGCTCACTCAAAATCATTCAAAATCAATATATCTGAACTCAGAATCTGAACCAATACAATTCTTCGCTTACGATTCAACATCCCTGTCCCTGTCCTGTCTCTGCAACAGCTTCCTGCTGTCCCTCAGCTCTGCACGGCCGATGGGCTCACAGCTGCTGCTAGTGATGCTAGTGGCGTGCCGAGTGGTGGAGCAATGCTTTTGACCCCATGGCAGTCTAAGAGTGATCCCTTTCTTATAACATGAAACATGCCCCAAAAAAATATGGTTTAGTAGGGGAGACCACATATTTGGATCTATTTGGGACCATAGTTTAATATCTGGGGGGATGGGATTAATTGGTAAACATCATTATATTTTTACAGTCGAACAGTCATATATCAAATAAGTATTGCCCGGAAGCCAGGCACCAGCTACCCCGATGTGAAAACAGGTTGCGCTTTGATAATCCAACATGGCCGTGGAAAGCTACAGCTCAGATGACTTCGTGCGTGGCAGAACCAGCAGCAACTGACACGCGCAGTGCGCCAATTTAAAGAGGTTCAAAAATTGCATCCCGCTCTCCATCCAACAAATGAGTCTACGGTTTGGAACAATGTGTCCAGCAGTATGATAATGGGATGAAGGATGAATGCATTGCCGGATGGACACACACACACATACTTGTGGGGAATGATGTGGGTGTGATGACGACAATGACGAGAATGAAAAAGAAGAAAAAGGAGAAGAAGAAGAAGAAGAAGATGATTATAATGATGATAATGGTAATGATGATGACGACGAAGACAATGACGACGATGACGATGGCGATGGCGATGACGATGACGTCCGAGGATGATGATGATGATGATGATGATGATAATGATGATGACAGCAATTATGAATGACAGTGAATGGCAGTAATGATGAATGACAGTAACGATGAATGACATTGATTACGAATGACAGTGATGACGGATGACAGTAATGATACTTGGCAGTGATAGTATGTAATTATGAATGACAGCAATGATGGATGACAGTGATGATAAGGGGAATATGTATATAACACATAATAATATAGATACGGGTGTAGGTATATAGGTGTTTATAGATGTGGATATAAAAATGTAGGTAAGGTGTATATAAATGTAGATATAGAATGATAAAGATAATGAAACATATATTAGAGTATAGATGCAGAACATGTATAAATATAGATATCATCCAACCACTAAAGACATATCACATCACAAAAAACCGGGCCATCCGCCCATTTTTGCAGATTGAGAACGGGGGCCTCTATGTACAACGATATCCGGTGGCCCGTGGTGCCCGCCATCTTAAAGTTTCAAAGGAATCGGGCGCAGAAACGCGACCTCAGTGGCTCCAAAGCATCAATGTCATGTGGGCATATCTGAAAATGTTCTTTTTTTATCTTTTTTTATGCGGAAAATGATTGAAATAATCAAAAACATGACGATGAACAATGGGATTTTGGTGTGAACTATTTTAGACAAACACAGACAAACCCATGTACAGCACGAATAGTTTGTCAACACCCTTTATATACAGTCGGAGAGGTCCCTAGGGGCCGTTGGCAGCCAGCCTAAAAGAAGCATGGAAAATCAATACGACAATAGTCAGACGTTCACGAAAACGATTCGAGATGTTTGATCGGTCGAAGGACCCTAACCCTTTGATGGCCGCAATCCACAGCTATCCTAAAATCTCCAATGAAGATATGGCTTCCCAACACTTGGTGAAGATCTGCCCGTGTTCGGCTGGGATTCACAATTCACGGGTTTCTCTTTCAGGGGAAGCCAAGAAATGCATCTGTGTCTGTGTCTTAGCCGCGAGTTCACAAAGCTGGCGAGGATGAAGAATGATAAACCATTTGCGTCCAGTTGCTACATCATCCAGTAGACTGGCAACATTGTCTCACACCCATCCATGCATGGCATATTTACATATACATCTATCATCTATCTACTTCTGTTCGCCACATCTGAACAAACAAATTTCGCAATCGTCCATAGTGTCAACCTCGTACCCCAATGGCTGGACCAGGCACCCCGCCTAAATCATTTAGACCTCAGGGGCCAAGGCACAAGGAAATCTCGATAGCAAGATGATGAACAATCGAATTTTGGCAGACCCATGTGATCCCATACGTACCCCCAAGGAATCTTCTGCAAATTCATGCTGAAAATTATGATACTCGACTTGTATGACTTGCAAATTGGACCGACACATAAACAAATGCAGCACTAGACCTGGCGTTTAAGACGGATGCTGATCCAATATTCTGGGTGGACATGGTGAGCAATAAATGGATACAAACGATAGAGATGCAGGCGGAGGCCTAGATCAACTGGTATCAGGTCTGTATTCACTGGTGAAAAGGTTGAGGATGTGGCCGTATCCAAAACAAATGGCGGATCCAAAAACAAAAGACCTGTCCAAAAGTAGCGTGCTCACATCTTGTTGCTAAAACATGCTAAAACATGCTGAAACATGCTAAAACATGCTAAAACACTCTAGTATCATTGGTTAAGCCGCATGGTTCCCAAATATGTCATATCATATACTGTATATCTATAGAGAATGCAGCTAGACAGCCAGGTTTATCTGAAACTACCCAAAAATCGCAGAGAGGCAGACTCAAATCATAGGATCCCCAATCCCTCTGTTTGCGTTCCTGTCTATATACCTCTGTTAATTTGATATATATACCCTAGGGGTCCAACACCACTGAGAACAAAGGGTTTTAGTAGAACCCCCTTTGTTTGCCATGGGGGTCTGGCCCCCAAGGCCAGGTTCCCTGGCACACCGGACTTCATTTTTCACCATCAACCCCGGTTGTTCGCCAAGCGCGCTTCCAAACAGTTATAGGACCCAAAATCAAACCCAAAGAGTGAAATATTTTAGAATGCTGCCATCACAAAAAAATGGTGGTTCTGCTGCAGAGTTAACTTGCTGTAATTATACAGTAGTACAGTAATAAATTGAACTTACGAATTTTCGAAGCTATTTAATGGCAAGGACTTTCTGATGTATCAGTGGATCAAACAGTTCCTACAATCCAGCGGCGCATGCTCAATGGTGCAACCATCCAAGTATTAATCGTAAATAACAATGACACAAATCGGTGATGGGCCCCCCTTAGCCGTCCACGGTGCATAATCCCGCGGATTAAACGGCTGGGGTGAGCACAAAGGTAAACTCTTTGGCACCAATAGATACTGACTAGATCGACCCACAGACAGTGAGGCTGGGGCCTTGGTAAGCACACCCGCGTATATACATGACAAATGTATTTATATGTCGAAATATTTATGTAGGATTCATCTTTGAATGTGTGCATATATGTATGTCATAGAATGTGTGCATGCGATCATGCGAGCAAAAACCATGAGACGCAATATTAAATACTAGCTAATATCTGATATTAAAAAAACAATTCTATCAACTCATATTTATATATATATAAAGCATATTGATTTCCCACACTATGATGGTATTACAATCCTTCCAGATTGTTTTAACTTGCAGCAAATTGTCAATTCCCACCATTGTACAGTAGTTGATGCAAATGGCATAGGCAGTCTAAGAACAGTAAAGAAGCGTGGGCGAGTTACTAGCACTCAGAACGGTATGGTTCACTAACTCGGTGCGAAATCGTACCATAGCTGACTATGTAACAATGATAGAGTACAGTGGGTACAGGGCGTGCAGTAGTTCGACGAACCACAAGAGATACATAGCCGGTGTGTCGATTGTAGATATGTTATGTTGATTAGTTGGCTAAGAACCCTATTGAAATTCCAAAATATTTGCAAATGTGTTCTGTCATTTAACTAATTAGATAATGCTGGGTGTTGATTTATCAAAGGGTGATGATTTAAGAAAAGTTTTCCAAAATTATTCCAGACCCCCCTGGGTTGAAAAGGGTCATGATTAAAGACAAGTTTTTGGGGGGGAGTTATTTTTTTTGGATTTTCTCTTGTCCTTTGCGTTCTTTATCTTTTCCTTGTCCCTTTGAGTTCTTTATCTTTTCCTTTTACTTTCTATTGGCCATTTACTAAACTGAGAGCTTCCTGAAATGGCTGGTCCCTTTATTAAACTCCTTTTAAAATATTGAGGTTTGACAATTTTCCAAGAGGGTAGCCCAGGAAGAGCCAGGATGTTGAATAAGAGGTTTGTCAAAAGGGTGTTGATTAATGCACAAAACTTTTTGGGGGTGGTCTTGTCTGCTTCTTCCTTTTCTTTTCCCTTTGAGTTCTTTATCTTTTCCTTTTACTTTTCATTGGCCACTTGCTATACTGAGAGCTTTCTCAAATGGTTGATCCCTTTATTAAACTCCTTTTAAGATATTGAGGTTTGACAATTTTCCAAGAGGGTAGCCCTGGAAGAGCCAGGATGTTGAATAATAGGTTTGTCAAAAGGGCGTTGATTAATGCAAAAAACTTTTTGGGGGTGGTCCTGGCTGCTTCTTCCTTTTCTTTTCCCTTTGAGTTCTTTATCTGTTCCTTTTACTTTCTATTGGTCATTTGCTAAACTGAGAGCTTTCTCAAATGGCTAATCCCTTTATTAAACTCCTTTTAAAGTATCGAGGTTTGACAATTTTCCAAGAGGGTAGCCCTGGAAGAGCCAGGATGTTGAATAATAGGTTTGTTAAAAGGGTGTTGATTAATGCAAAAAACTTTTTGGGGGTGGTCCTGGCTGCGTCTTCCTTTTCTTTACCCTTTGAATTCTTTATCTTTTCCTTTTACTTTTTATTGGCCGTTTGCTAACCTGAGAGCTTTCTCAAATGGCTGATCCCTTTATTAAACTCCTTTTAAAGTATTGAGGTTTGACAATTTTTCAAGAGGGTAGCCCAGCCCAGAAAGAGCCAGGATGTTGAATAATAGGTTTGTCAAAAGGGTGTTGATTAATGCAAAAAACTTTTTGGCGGTGGTCCTGGCTGCTTCTTCCTTTCCTTTACCCTTTGAGTTCTTTATCTTTTCCTTATACTTTCTATTGGTCATTTGCTAAACTGAGAGCTTTCTCAAATGGCTAATCCCTTTATTAAACTCCTTTTAAAGTATTGAGGTTTGACAATTTTTCAAGAGGGTAGCCCAGCCCAGAAAGAGCCAGGATGTTGAATAATAGGTTTGTCAAAAGGGTGTTGATTAATGCAAAAAACTTTTTGGGGGTGGTCCTGGCTGCTTCTTCCTTTCCTTTACCCTTGAGTTCTTTATCTTTTCCTTTTACTTAGAGAGATCAAAGAAGAGTAGGGAAGAGAAGAGAAGCGTAGAGAAGAGAGATCATTAATTTTCAATTGTTGAGATCACCCATTCCCTCAGGCAAGCCTTTTAAGCAAAGAGTTTATTAATCACGACCCATCATTTGTTTAGGGGGGAGGGGGGAAGGGGTTATAAATCACGACCCAACATTAAGGAACATAGCAGTGTACAACAGGAACATGCACGGAGACAGTGCTATGTTTAACAGTCGCTCCACAACAGTGCACGCTGCATCCAGCTCTAGGAGGCTTCTAAGCACGGTTCAGCTGCTTCCAAAGCGCGCTCCACCAGAGTATTGTCAGCTATGATCACACTACGCAAGCCAACAAAATAATCTCAAACCTTTTATTAACCAAGACAATGTTACACATACAACAAACACCGTGCATTCACACATCCACCAGATTGTCGCACCCAAAAAACACAAAAGAGACTGGGCCAACCAAAATGTAGAATACCATACTATTTATTCCAAACCCATCTTTTCAAAAAAGTGGAAAATAGGGGTTCCGGGGTTCACGGTTTTTAAAGGGCGTTCACGGTTTTTAAAGGGGGTTCACGCGAGTTTCACGCTAGTTTCACGCTGTTTCACGCTGGTCCGGGCCTGGATTCCAACCAGCCAATCTGAACACTTTTGCAGCACCATTTAAGAGCCAGTGATTAGCAAAGGCCATTCTGAACACATGGCATTACAAGCTCTGGAATTTACGCGTGTGACCCTTCACTGAAAGAACCGTCCAAAAGCAGGTACACTGTGGTTTAATGTCAACCTCCATGCAAAAAAAAACCCTAAATAAAGTACGCCAACTTGCCGGAAATTAATAATAACCCCCCCTAAATAAAATACGCCAAAATTTTGGGGATAACCAAATTTAGTGAAAAAATATTCTCAACCCTATCCTGAAAAGGAGACTGAGACAAGAAGCAATGGAATCTTGAAAAAGTTCCCACAACTCAATTGATCAATCCCCTTATTAAAACCCTATCAAAAAAAATAAAAAATCAATCTCACAAAGGGGGTAGCATTGAAGCCTCCAAGCATCTCAATAGATTGTTTGTTTTAACCCCCCTAAATAAAGTATCTCCATCTGATGGTCTCTGAATCTGTTTTAATTATCTTTAACAATTAGGCAATTCATTTAGCAATATTAAACTTACGATCCAGAACCAATGGAATCTGAAAAAGTTCTCACAACTCAATTGACCAATCCCTTTATTAAAACCCTATCAAAAAAATTAAAAAATCAATCTCACAAAGGGGGTAGCCTTGAAGCCTCCAAGCATCTCAATAGATTGTTTGTTTTAACCCCCCTAAATAAAGTATCTCCATCTGATGGTCTCTGAATTTGTTTTAATTATCCTTAACAATTAGGCAATTCATTTAGCAATACTAAACTCACGATCCAGAACCAATGGAATCTGAAAAAGTTCTCACAACTCAATTGACCAATCCCTGTATTAAAACCCTTTCAAAAAATCAAAAAATCGATCTCACAAAGGGTTAGCCTTGAAGCCTCCAAGCATCTCAATAGATTATTTGTTTTAACCCCCCTAAATAAAGTATTTGTATCTGATGGTCTCTGAATTTATTTTAATTGTCCTTAACAATTAGGCAATTCATTTAGCAGTAGTCAACTCATGATCCAGATGTTGGATGAATTCTGGTTTTAATTATCCTCAACAATTAGGCAATTCATTTAACAATACTAAACTCATGATCCAGATGTTGGATAAATTCTAGTTTTATTTTTCCTTAACAATTAGGCAATTCATTTAGCAATAGCAAACTCATGATCCAGATGTTGG